CTCCTGGATAACTTCACCTCAATGCATCGTTAAGATGAAATATATTTGCTTTTTTTTTCTCTAGATCTGTATTCAAGTAATATGTCAGTTGTGAATTTGTCAAACACAGCAAATCATGAAACACCCATATTAACATCCAGTCAGCCATCCCTGGGTCGTGTCGACAATCACATCCACGTGACCCTTATCAACAGGGCAACGTCATTATTGCCTCGTCCGTATTACGTTGTTTTATTACTATATATAAAATACGTTTACATCTGTCAGTCTGTTACTCTGACTGCTCCTGTGTGTAGATATTCAACGCCAGTGCTAAGGAATACCCAGTCCTGAGTCTCTTAGAAACAGATTCCATTTGGTGTAAAGGGTGAAATAGCCGTGATAGATGCGCCTGACTGCTGGCTTGTAATAGACCTGGACTCATTTCTTGGAGTAACCGACCCACCGAAGAAGTTTGGACCCAATGATCTCATTCTGTTTACCTCCCCATCGGTACCTACATGTATTATGGTGAGTGAGTGTGTGAGTGAGTATGGTTTTACACTGCCAATATCGCAGCAACATCACAGTCGGGGACAAAAAATATGGGCTACACACATGTGGGGAATCAAACCCGGGACTCCGAACCCTTTAATCTTTGATCACTTTATTCAGAATTGAAGGCCATGTGGCCAAGAGTACAATAGGTAATACAACATTTTCAAGGTGTGTAGAGTTGAAATATAATTCATAATACAATTATTTTAACGTAGGTTTTGCTTCAGGAATATACATATTCCTTTGAGAACAGTGACACTGTGTATCTTCATAAGGGCTCGGAATTTGACAATTGAAGGTGGGCTGTAGAAATAGGCTGGAATATATTGGGATCTGCATCGTTTATAAAATGGGCATATTAGCAAGAAGTGATATTCGTCTTCAAGCACGTTTAAAGTACTTCAACCATTAGGCATTGTGATGAGTACATTTAGAATGTTCAAAGGTATTACTTGATCACTGGATTGTCTGGTCCAGACTACACTGGTTTACAAACAACATCATACAGCTGTAATAATGCTGAAACAAATATATACCCATGGTATAGTCACAATTGTACAATCCATTCTGCTTTTTGCAGAGATTTCTTATGGATGTGGAAGGGGTTTTGGCGCTTCTATAGTGAAACGTCGTACAATGAAGATCAGTATCCAGGCATTTGGTTTACAGATTACTGTATACACAAATAACAAATATTATTGCCATTTTACATGGATTAAAGAAAATAAATGTTTGGAAATGTTAAAAGGGATTGAATGTGAAACAGCGCTATGCTTTTAACAATCTCCAATAATTTAGTTCACATCATTTTCACAATTAAAGTATAGCCATTCGATTTTGCAGAGATTAAAGAAAATGAGACTAAAACCTGACGGGATAATTAAGGTTTTGAAAAATGAAAGTCCCCATAGTCTTCGTGCTCTTGGCATGAACTGTTGTCATCATTAAACGACACTTACGCTGTCTCACATAAATGTTTATTGTCATTCACAGACGCAGATTTATACATTGAGATACAATCCTTTTGAAATCAGTCATGAACAGTATGTAAAGGTGAGGATTGAACGGGCTAGCGTGAACTCCGGACAGGATATTCCTGAACATTCTTTAGGCGTGAACATCTCATTGTATTTGTTCATGTTTCTAAACAACACAATCCCGTGCAGATCTGGGTTAGAATTGATCTTCAGTAACTGACGCTTGTCGTAAGTGGGACTAAGGGGATCGGGTGGTCAGGCTCGCTGACTTGGTTGACACATGTCATCGTATGCCAATTGCGTAGATCGATGCTCATGCTGTTGATCACTGGATTGCCTGGTCCAGACTCGATTATTTACAGACCGCCGTCATGAGGCAGGGTATGGACAAAATCATCCGTTTTTGCCTACTATGTAGTTTAAATGCTATTAAAAATGAAATTCATTTTATTTTTGTTTGTCCTGTTTATCATGATATACGTCTTAAATATTTGCCTTACTTACACGTGGACAGAGAGACTCTTGTAAGAATGCTACAGTCCTCTGATGTCTTATTGTTAAAAAACCTGGCAAATTTTGTGAAAGACGCTGTCAGTCTACGATCATCATATCTTTAAAATTTAGGAAATGCAGCACCAATTGTAAATATTTGCATATAATATGTACGTGGGCCTGAGGCCTTATTACTGAAATAAAGAAATGAAAAGACCGCCGTCATATAGCTGGAATATTGCTGAGTGCGGCGTAAAACTAAACTCACTCACTCATATTATCTACGACTGACCTCCTTCACCCACCCCCAGTGCCCTGGCTATCTGACGCCTATCTACAAATCTAGATACCCGAGTTAACGCCAGTAAGCTTCGTGGCTGCTGACTTTAAACGCATGAGACCAGGCTGCCAGGTATAATGAAATCACATTTCAAGTGTACTTTTGTTTTACTTTCAGATTTCGAACACAATATTACTGAGTGTGTTTGTTTTTCACGTTTTTAACCTACAGTATTCCACACATGACACGACACCTTGAAGTGATGCAGGTGTCCCCTGGTATACTACTGTAATATTATCTCAATATCGTTTTCAACTTTTGTGAGTGAGTGAGTGAGTATGGTTTTACCTTTTGTAACATTATTACATATATACCAGGACGCCCATCGTCCTTACCCAAACCCGTGAAGAGGAATACGGCAGAGGAATGTTATAAAATTCACACCCGCGAAGGTCCGGGTTAGAATGAACCTTCAGTAACCCATGCTTGTAAGAGGGACTAACGGGATCGGATGGTCAGGCTCGCTGGCTTGGTTGACACATGTCATCGGTTACCAATTGCGCGGGTCGATGCTCATGCTGTTGATCATTGGATTGTCTGGCCCAAACTCGATTATTTACAGACCGCCGCCGTATAGCTGGAATATTGCTGAGTGCGGCGTAAAACTAAACTCACTCACTCACTCACACTGGTACAACTGGACTACTGTTGAAAGCTGTGTTAAACCCAACTCACTCACACAATTAACACCTGTTGTGATTCTGGATTCCAATAAGTCAACAGCAACCTAAGCTGCATTGTCGCTAATCACCTTTCGTTTCAGCAGATGACTCGGTGCACAATGCAGGTTTTCTTTGTTCTCTACAGGGACCACTTGCATAAAGCGATCTTAGCGCTGAGATGATTGTAACTCCCATAATCTAACATAGAGTTATGATAGTCATAGCGCTAAGATTGTTTTCTGCAAGTTGGCCCTGGGAAACAGATAAAGGTCGAGAAAAGTCTTGTAACGTAGAAATTAGGGACCATTCACAATTTAAGGCCGGGGGGAGGGTTGTGTTTGATGATTTTTATGGGGAAGCATGTACAATGTGTATGCCCCACCCCCTAAAATTGATGTACAAAGTAAGTGACCCCCTGCATGTGATGTACAAAATCAATGACCCCCATCCCTTCCCATAATTTCTAAGCATAATGTTTTAATAATATTTATGTACAAAATTACTGACCCCCGGTAGATGTCTACAAAATTGATGACCCCCTACCTCCCCAGAACAAAATTGGTGACCCCCTTAAAATCATATCACACACAGAGAGAGAGAGAGAGAGAGAGAGAGAGAGAGAGAGAGAGAGAGAGAGAGAGAGAGAGAGAGAGAGAGAGAGAGAGAGAGAGAGAGAGAGAGAGAGAGAGAGAGAGAGAGAGAGAGAGATAAATTATGAACGGACCCTTAACATCAAGGTAAGTACAGTCACTGGATTGAGCGCTATATAAAACGATAAAGTGCCCTGCAGTGTCAATATAGGCCCATACCTTGATGCTAGTTTTTGTGAAGTATGACCCAGATCAATAATTGTCTTCATTGCCTTTTCGCAGATTTCACAGTGTCGCGGGCAGCGTTCCATCAGAATGATATTGAGACGCTTCATCATCATCGCCTGCCTATCGATGGTTATCCTCGTCATCATGATCACTCAGCTGTCGACCTTCCGAACACACTCGCACATACAACACAAACTCGAATCGTCAACTTCTGTTCTGCAATCAAGTACTCCATCTGGGAAGTGGCCGCCGTTGAACTTTGATCCGAATAATTTCTATGGAGATAGGCGCTTGCTTCAATATAAGAGTCATTTTGTGCCGAGAGAAAAGAAAATAACTCCTTTGGACTTTAAATTCATGATTCCAGGCGCAACCGTCTGTTCCGGTGTAGAAGGGCCGACATTGCTTGTTATGGTGATGACCATTCCGGATAACGCCGCAGAGCGTCAAGCCATCCGTGACACGTGGGGGCGTATTGCATCCGGGCACTCGTGGCCGGGTGAAACCATTATGGAACGATGAAGGTCATCTTCCTCTTTGGAAACACAGGAAACAAAGAACATAATCAACTATTACGTAATGAATCCAGACAAAAGGGAGACATAGTACAGTGTGGTTTTCAAGAATCCTACGTTCATTTGACTTATAAAGTTTTGATGGGATACAAATGGGTTGAGAAGTTCTGCCCCCGCACTAAATTCATCATGAAGGTGGACGAGGACACATTTTTCAACGTGCCGTATGTTTTCAGTCTCTTCAAGAAACAGGAATGGAATAATACAATATATGGACCCTTTTTCCAAACAGACACAGTGTCTCGGGCGAAAAAATTCCGAGTGGAACCGGCAGCCTATGCTCCGCCACTTTACCCACCCCATGTTAAAGGCAACCTCTATTTTATGCCTTCGGAACTTGCCTTTAAGATTGCCAAGGTGGCGGAGTACATGCCTTATGTGAACATTGAAGATGCATATATTACCGGCGTCTTAGCCAAAATATTTGATGCCAGACATGTGGGTGTTGATGAATTCGTGTATAGAATACGGACACCGGCTAAAGCTTGTGATATTGCCTTTAAACGGAAAATGATTTCCCAACAAATAACACCGAGTATGTTCTACGTGATATGGGATCGTATCCTATACAAGGATTTGTGTACGAATGGGCCGTTCATATGAGGCAACTTATATACAAAAAATGGAAACAATACAAACTTGGTACCAACACCGAAAGTTATGAAATGTGGTATGAACACTGAATTAAGATTACTGGCGGACGTGAGTAAACATACCCATTTGTGATTTTGGAATTCGCGTCCTTCGGATCGTCCTAACCCTGACAAAGTTATACAGTTATATTTACTGGTCAGTCTTATTTCGGTATGTCAACGTACTGTGGGAAAGAAGATCGAAGTGATACAGATCTTAGGCGTTTACATTAACGGAACCTATGTATGACGATGCCAAACCAATGATCATGATCTAGGATTCGAACCTGTCCATATGATCCAGGCTCGTTCAATGGTTAGTCTTCGTTGTTTTCAGTTAAGAAAGCCCCGTGGTGCCACGTATGTAGCATAAACGATATTAGTTAATTTCAAGTTTAATTAACACTCGAAATATGCTTTTTTAAAAATATCTTTGTTTTTTCTCGTCACTTCGATTATATTTTGTTATTTTCGATGATTTTCTCCATCCAAAACACTCCAAATGCTATTTTTTAATCTTTTCTTCGATTTATTTCTCGTTACCTCCAGTTTCAATAAAAAACACGAATTTTCAAGTATTTTCTTATTGCCTCGAATATTTCTCGCTAAATTCAAGTTGTTGTTAATGTTGTTACAATCAGTCATAACGTTTGCCAGTCATATGTTTTGTTACACTGTATCCCCAGCGGTTTCATTAGTGTCCGTATCTTGGATCCATATGACGGGGCGATGAAAACGCATTTAGAAAAGGTAACCGTGTTTCATATAAAATCGTGTAAATATTATTTTACTGAAAATATCACAAACAGGAAACAGAGGCTCGCTTCCTGAATGATTGGTGGTCAATACCAGATGAGACCAACATATGATTTGATACAGAAGGCGCTACAGCGGCGTTGCAATTGAAGACAAATATGATACAAAACCGCGTAGAGAATGTCCCAAATGTCAACCAAATGTTATCCGAACAGAGCTAGCGTTACCGGCAGGTTCCGATCTCATCCCAGACACGTTCTATGGAAGGGAGGAACAGTCGGCGTTGGCGGCACAGCAATCTTATACTGCCTCAAAAAGTCCTGTACAAGCCTGCATATCCTGGGTGGGCAGTTTCGTGCTGCAACGTTGGTTACGTCCCTACATGCCTTACGACGACGATTAAGGGACATGTTCTCCCCTTGGTGCCTTGTACACCTGTAGAGCTTCTCCGGCCACCAGAGCTCTTCACATGGAACCTGAACTCATCTGTGAACGGCATACTGTCACAGCCCTTAACATCATATGCTGCCTTCATCAAGCTTGGGGCGCTTGACTTCCACGTGAAGGCGTAATTTGGCTGATCGCATCATCGTCTTGACCGGAAGTTGTGCCCCATCAACTTTAAAAGTCGAGAGATGTCTTATGGAATATATGTTGAAAGACACGTGTGTTTTTATTGAACTTCATATCATAGTTACTTTGTTTGCATTTGTATGTGTTAATCTCTTCTTAAGAAAAATACTGATTACTTAAATCATTCCAATTTCAAATGAAAGATGAATAAATAGAAACGACAAACTACTTTCCATAGTCGTAAGAAATCTCCGCTAACAGCAGGGTCGATTCCGACTTTATTATGGGCATATTTTTACGAATCAATGGCCGATAGTCAGGATACCAGTGATGGAAAGATCATTATGCATTTTCAGAATAGATATATATTTATTGTACTTCATATGAAGCACAGTTACGTTTTCTCTTGGTATTTATACTACCCAAAGTTTGCTAAGAATACACTTTTGGTGATGTCAACAAATTATCCAACAAATAAAAATTGAAATATCCGGGAATTCGGCAATGCTCTTACTGAAGAGAGGAAAAATCGTCCCTTTGCAATCATCCAGACTGGGAGCATGAGACGGTGCCAGCCTGTGATCGGTGTCAGCCTATTACACTGGCGCTACTCAGGGGCTTTGTATTTGTCATATATGTTGCTTGTGTCACGTGACAACGGACCTCGGCTATTTCAACGGATGCACACAATTTGACGCATTAGCTTAGTTGATGTTTAGCAAACTCTGAGTAGTATATGACGATCAAAGTTCATCGCAACTCTGATAATTTTATCACAAGGCAATCTGGTACTGTGGTGGCATGCCTGAAATATTTTATGTCCGCATCTTTGAATGTTTGCAAACACTACTTTCTGTTTGCCCTATCAATTACCTTTGACAACACACTAATAGTATTTAGGAACGGGAATATTTGTCATTTATTTCAGCTTACAGTATATTTTTGACGTACATGAGTGATGTCTGTTTCCTAGATCATGGTTATGTTTATAAGCTATACAATATCAAAATATATTTATATATGTTTACTGATAAATATACTCGAGCTGGTCCTCTAAGCTATGTATACTTGGCACGGGACAGGCTGTTACGACGTAAATTTTAATAAAACGTAAATTGTAATACTTGCAGCAAATTGTAACACAGGCACTTCATAGCCCGCGTCGCCAAAATGTTGTAACGTTAAAGGGTTTGTGTATGTCTGTTGAAATGTGGATATGTAAATAATGTTTTCTAACAACATTAAGCATTGAGCTTCAAACAAAACACTCCTTCGTGAGATCCCAAAATGGCAATATTTTTTCGTTTCTTTTTGAGCTCACATTCAGCTTTTGCTAAATGGTTAAGTTTTCGAAGAGCCTTCCTATCATTTAACGTCATATTAACAGAATGTCATTCTTGATCCGCAAGACATCCAACAGAAGTAGCTTCAGAGGCGAAGTAAGCGTTCACTAGATGAAGCGGGCGTATAATACTGGCCGATCCAGGCGTGTAACGAGGGAGAGGGTTGTTCCCACTATATTCTGGTTGAGAGAGAGCTAAATTCAAACCAAACTCTGTCGTGGTTTATACTTGGACTCCATTTTAGGTCGTGTGCTCTGGAGGTGGTTGAATATGTATGTACGCAGAATGCCAATGTCCAATATTTTATGTCACTTCGTGTAATCGCAGGCATGCATTGAGTATGAGTTGTTGGTTGTTCTGGTGATGAAGGAGTCGTCAGTCACATTTAAACGGGGGATTGTCCAAAGCGCGTATTGTCCATAGTGTGGGGTTGAAATTTTTTTAGCAATGCAGAAATACAATGCCCATTTGTAGAAACTTGAAGTTCAGTTTGAATTAGTGTTGATTGTCCAATTTTAATCAATTCTTCATCCATCCCACCAACTAATCCATTCCCCTTCATTCATCCCAACAACTACCGTTAATCCATCAGTAATCCATTCTTCCATCCATCCCATCATTGAACTAATACAGTTTCGTCATCCACCCCACCAACTAATCCATTCTTTATCCATCCCACCAACTAATCCATTAAGTCATCCACCCCACCAACTAATCCAGTCTTCATCCGTACCCACCCGCTAATCCATTTTTGATCACTGGATTGTCTGGCCCAGACTCGATCATTTACAGACCGCCGCCACCAATAGCTGGAATATTGCTGAGTGTGGCGTAAGACTCAACCCATTCTCGCTCACTTATAAATTCTGACAATTTCATTATGTGATAAACTTGGTTTACAACTCGATATAAACTTCAGTAGAGTAATTACAATGGTAGTACACATATCAGAGGAAGACAAGAATTAGAGTGGCTGTATACAAAATACACAATGGTGTCAATCCAGTATATAGATAGAATGCTTGCTGCTGCCACGCCAGTGATAATAGCATTCACTTTGTGTGGTTTATAGATCAATGACAGAGGAAGTTCATTAACCCTACCATGTATTGTATCGAGGAAAGCTGTTCATCTCCATCCATGAACAACCGCAGGTCATTAATGAAGACACATGTCATCAAATTGCGCAGATCGATCAGGGGCATGGCCCAGACATGCCCGCTAATACGCCTCAGGAAAGTCGATATAAACCATGGTTATGCTTGAAGAATAGCGGTGTCAATAAATCGCGCCATTCTTTGTGTTTTAAGAGCTATATGCGGGTTTGAAGAAACGAGATGTCAGGGCATGCACTTCGCTAACACCATGGTTAGAATTTAAAAACATCAAAGTAGTACCTTACATTAGGTGGATTCAGAGATTGTGGGGGCGCATACACCCTTTTTTTTTTCTTATCCTGAAGGTTTAATAAATGACCCTTGAAACTCTCGTGAAAAAACTTGTGAAAAGTGAACTGCGCACACCAACACCACCCACCCACCTACTATTTCCAAAAGCTGTATCCGCCCCTGGTAGTATATTCCCGCTGAGCTGAGTTAAGGATTACTTGCGGCATCAGATTATTTCAGCCGTAAAGCGACGACACCAAGTCTGCATACATAAGCATTTAAAGTACAAAGCTCAAACGAATTGGGCATTTTTAAATCAAATTTATTCATTACATTATAACTTATAAACGGAAACACAATAGCACACAATTTGAAAACAAGCAATTCACAAGCAATTCGTCATTTACATTACATAGTTACAATTTATGGTACATGTCAACTTCCCTCAAGTAGCTAACAATGAGATGCCCGCTCACGCAGGAAAACAGGTCTCCAGATATATGGCTTCATAATGTGAATGTGAATCCCTTGCATTTGAAAAGTCCACACATTCAAGCAGTATATGCTTGATGGTGAACACTTCATCGCAAGAGACACACATAGGAGGTCCATCCCCAACTGTTTTCAGCAGATAGTCATGAGTAAACCGACTGTGGCCAATACGACATCGTCGTAAAATTACCTCATCACGTCTTGACTGACAACCCAAGTAGGTATAACCGACTGTTGCTTTCATTTCGTGAAGTTTATTTCTTCCTGTCACTAACCGGGTCTTAGCACTATCATTTTTATATAGCGCTAAGACCCCGTAAGTGACCGTACATACCTTGATGGCAGTTTTTAGCGTTACAAGCCCCTGTGAGTTTAAGATCACTATACGGGATAAGCAGTGAGGATAATAGTTTGTCAAGGGCTGATTTAGTAAGCTGGTTCTCGGCTACCTTTGCGCGCGCTAACGTTCGACAAAGCTATATTGCGATATGCGAGACGGGGCCCAGCTTACTGATTTAGCTGCAGCATCCGCTTTTGTATTACCTGCTATGCCAACGTGACCCGGCAACCAGCAGAGGACGATGTCACATTGGCCAGTACATTCCCGATGACTAATTATCATTAAAATGAAATGTTATAACCCTCTGTTGAAGTTTGACATAAGCAATGCAATACAGTTACAACATTGTTTACTAATAATGACTGAGTGAGTTTAGTTTTACTCCGCTTTTAGCGATATTCCAGTAATATCACGGACATCATAAATGGGCTTCGCACTTTGTGCCCATGTGGAAAATCGAACCCGGGTCTTCGGCGTGACAAGCGAACGCTTTAACCACTAGGCTGGCCCACCGCCTTTGTGTAATATACACAATATACACTGCCATGTATTATGTGTTATGAATGCATGTTAAGTGCTAAAGCAGTAATTGTCCAGAGTGAGTTAGTGAGTGAGTGAGTGAGTGAGTGAGTGAGGTTTTACACCGCATTTAGCAATATTCCAGCAATATCACAACGAGGGGCACCAGAAATGGGCTTCACACCTTGTTCCCGTGGTAGGAATCGAACCTGGGTCTTCGATGTGACGAGTGAACGCTTTTACCACAAGGCTACCCCACCACACAATAATAAGGTGGGTTTGGAATCGTGAGGGTTTACTGTATACCAAATCTGAAAGTTTGTTAAATGACCATTGAAACTCGGGTGAAAATAAAGTGTGCACCCCTCCTTTCTCAATAGTGTGCACCACCACCACCCATCCCCATCCCCTTCTCATTAAGCTGTATCCGCCCCTGCATGAACATCCGGGTTAGATTTGGTCTTCAGCATCCATTGTTGTTGTGATGTTGTGAGAGGCGACTATCACTATTGGGTGGTAAAGTTCACGGATGCATGCCATCGAACCTCAACTGTGTATAGGTTGACGTTCATGATGTCAATGACTGGATTGTCTAATTTACAGATTGTTAGGATAGAAGGGATACTGAGTGCTGCATTGGATAAGATCCATACACAGACAATGGAAGGATACGTTATATTGATGAACAACGTGTTATTTGATAAATAGCGATGTTTCGGTGTATATTATAACGCCATTATAAATCAAGAAGACCCTCCAAACGTCGCTCCCTACTGTAATGAAGAAACTCTTCACCCATATAGCTTACCTTCCTTAATACGTCACCTTCTGAATGTTTTTTAAAGGCGCCATTAACTGACAGGCAATGATGAAGGCAATGTCTCAAATCAACAGTGAATTACGTCTTGGCCTTAATTGAACATGTGTAATTGGTCGAACAGAGTAGTCCCGCTTTAAGTTACGTGCACAGGTGGGAACCAGCAAGACTTAGTGCTGTCTTTAAGATTTCTTATATGAAAAGCAGTGTGTCTTAAAGTATCACAGTTTTGAAGAAACCAAGTCTTTTACTTAACACCCAAAGGAAGAGTTTGCTTTTGTCTATGACAACATACACGACACGAATATGTAAAGCCCTTGGGTGAGTGAATGCGAGAGTGAGTTTAGTTTTACGCCGCTTTTAGCAATATTCCAGCAATATCACGGCAGGGAACACCAGAAATGGGCTTCACACATGGTACCTATGTGGGGAATCGAACCCGGGTCTTCGGCGTGACGAGCGAACGCTTTAACCACTAGGCCACCCGACCACCCCGTAAAGCCCTTGGATTGATGAATCAATGTCATCAGTTTTTCTTCAATCCCTAGGTTGTCTGATGTTTGTCACGGATAACATCCCGTGGGTTAGTGGCAAAGCATTAACCCTCAAGTAAACAATGATCTATTGTTCCAATGGGCTGCTGGAGATTGGCCCTCATTCAGATAACCCACTGCCCCTGAGCATGTACCTGTATTCAGTTCCAGCTTCATCATTGCCTGTTTGCCAGCTGCCGTACCCCGAACGTGTGCATGTGCATTGCATGCATCTCTTCCAACAATGTTGTTGTAGCATTCAAGTTAGTTATGTAGAAAACGTCAATATACAATAGTTGATGTACATCCGAGAATGTGTATACGGATGAAGAGGGACTGAACGTCAGAAGAAACGCCAACAGTCAGATGTTCACACAAGCCACAGATGTTCATTGCTTACATCATAATACAGATGCCGTCCGTATCTAATCCTGTCTGTTGATATTCATAATATACAAAAATCTGGCCAAAAGGCAGTGATTCTTTCATAGCTGGAGAATAACCGTTTGCTTGTGTCTGTGGGCTACAGGTTCACATACACTGCAACAAGGACAGATAGCCAATAAGAAGCAGCACGTGCATCTTTACAATGTTTAGTGTTTGTTATTGAATCATACTGCGAAATGTTACCATTACAAATGTGTAAGACTGAGAGATAGATAGGTATTCAGTGTATCTCTGTGTGGATATTGGGCCATGGACAAAGATACATTCCATCCAGAGGAACCCTCCATGTGGTGTTTTGTTCTACGGAACCAATTATCTTGGTATGAATCCTTGGGGCAATTTGAACGCCAGATGAACTTTTGTAATATCAAATCAATGTTATGTGCTGGAGAATTTATTTGTAGGCATTTCTATAAGCTTTTAAGTGCAGTTTATTGATTTAGATTCCTTTTTATGGGAACATCTTGGTTGGCTATGTGATCCATTGGTAGCATGTTGCGGTTGGGCATGATATCCTTTTCTCCTGTCCTGCTGTAGCCTGCTATTGTGTTCGAAGACATTGTCGTGTGTCAGTTTCTAAAGTGAAATTTATTTGGAAATCTACGTAATAAGAAACCAATTGACGACAAAGAATTTTCACACATTTCTATAATTGTACTATAATACAGTTTTATAATTGTATTATAAAATGACTGGGTGTACAACTCAAGACAAAATACTGCAAAGGATTTACAGTAGCCGTACAAGTAGTGTGGCTGAACAAATTCCACGACAGATTAACATTAAATACAAGTGGTAATATCACTAAAGTCTGCGACGATGATATTCAAATGGTGGCCAGTTCTTCGGATAGAAAGACCGCCCATGTTTAATATTTTGTCATTACATCCATATGACATTGCTGTACTTAACAGTCGAATACAAGGATTTTCTTTTGAAATACGGTAAGGTCGACTGCATTTAAGGCTATTGGAATGGTGCTATGTTCTTTTCTAATATCTTAATACGAAGACACCTTGGTATGTTTTGTCTCCTATGAAGACACATCGGAATTACATGCATTTTACAACTTTAGTGTTGCTACATTTGATGTAAACCTCTACATAATCACTTTTGTCCATAAAAAGTGAAACTGTTTACAAAGAAGCCTTTGACTGTACGTGACACCAAGATGGA